TATGACCATTGCAGCATGCCCAGGGTCATGTGATTTATATTTGGATGCTTGGCAACTGATTCACATTTATGATGATTACAGTGTTCCAGGGTCATATGATCCCTTTTTGCAACCTTTTGACAAGCAAAGTCAATGGCAGGGCTGCTAGTGGCCAAGTGCTAAGGCGGGACTTCCTTCCTTCCCTCCCTCCCTCCTTCCCCGCCTCCCTCTTTCTCATGCCCGCCTCCTTCTGAAGGAAGAATTTGACACCCCCCCCATATTTTCCCTCTTCCATATATTCATCAAACAAGGAAAAGCCTCCAGAGACAGAAAAGTGAAGCTGCTGAGGGAACTAGCTTAAAAAGGCACATTCCCCTTTAAGAATTAGCTACTGGCTAGAAAGGAAAGTTAATGAGAGCAGCCGGCACTTAAGGAAGAAAAAAAATGTAGTAAGTATTGGCTGCTGGCTAAGGCAGCCTCCCCAAATGGCTCCATTCATAAGTAAAGGAATGCTACAGGCAAAATCCATTCAGGAGAAAAATACTTCAAAATCCCTTGCAGCAAAACTTACAGCTAACACAAAGCCCACATTGCACAAATCCCAGAACTTCAAAGTCACAAAAGCACATAAGAATCCTTCCACTCTCTATTTCCCTCATGTCTTACCTCCAGCTGATGCTACCTTTCTTCATTCCTCCTGGAGGGCAACCCCTCCCCTGCTGCATTTCTTGTCTGTTTGTTGCTGCCAGCACAGGTGGCTGCCACAGAAGTTGTAGATCGGCTCATGGCCGGCCTGCTTGGACTCCTTGATCTCCTCTCCCCCCCACCCTCCTCCTTCGGTGCAGCTAGAGCTGACTCCACATCCTCCCAAGGCTGCTTCTTTTTTTTCCCTCTCCCACCCAAACTGCCTCCTTTTATAGCTTCTCCTGTCTCCGCCCCCCTCCTCCTCCTTTCTCATGGGGGAGGGTGAGCCAGAAGTGAGCCTGGGGTGAGGCTCAGCCTCAGTCACTCTGCAGCTCCAGATGACTCTCTCACAGTAAGTCCTTGCCTGTGCTGGCTCTTTCCCTCCCCCACTACACTTGGCTAGCAGGGCTGCATACCACCTGCCACTTGTTAATGTACCACAAGTGGTACACGTACCACCGGTTGAAAAGCCCTGTAAATATAAACATTTAAGGTTGGTAGTGGGAGAGACAAAGAAGTACGGTAGCTCACAAGTGCAATCCTTTGGAAAGTTTTTTTTAAAGAGGCTCAGTGAAATAAATGGAAACTCTGCAGGATCCAGTAGAAAGAGAACAGTTTGCTGGTAAATTGTGTCTTGTATTCACTCCCAAGAAGCAATGGTACCAGAATATCACACGGTGACTATATCTTGGGTTAGAACCATAGAAACACACAGAACATGAAATCCACTAATTAGCACTGGCAGCAACCACTGTTCCAAACACTAAAATGATGTATTTTTACCCCAGTCATCTCAATGATTACATGTCTGTCACTGATAAAGTAGCAAAAAGGTCCACTTAGTTGGAAAGGTCAATAGCACTACATACGGCAGGACTATATTCTGTTCAGTAGAATATAGAAGCTCAAGGGTTGGGGAGAGTGGAATATGGTTTGAGAATGGAAGGATACATGCTCTGCTTTCTCAGGGTTGCCTGGCTCTGACTGTATTCTCTGTTCTACAGGGCTTCTTCCGACGGACCATTCAGAAAAATCTGCACTCAACATACTCCTGCAAATATGATGGCTCCTGTGTCATTGATAAGATCACTCGCAACCAGTGTCAGCTTTGCCGATTCAAGAAGTGCATTGCCGTTGGCATGGCCATGGACTGTAAGGGCATTGCGCCCACTGTGGAGAACTAGGGGGGTTGGGAGTGGTTACAGGCTATTACCAGAGAATAGAGGAGAAGAAATGTGCCCAAGAATGGACACGCTTTGGAGGATCAAAAGAGGGAAATAATTGTTTGGTGTGTAGAATTACATGGGGATCATCTTTGAATCCCTACTTTTTGAGTCTTTGGGATACCATGAGAGCTATCATAGTATTCCATAGGGTTTTAAGTATAAGCCTATCAAATTGCTGTTTATAATTCCCTTTGGCACCTTAGAATTGGCCAAATTGGTTGCAGAATTCTGATTGACTATGTGAGCCCCCCCCTTCCTCTCATACCTCTTCATTCTTCACCACCCTCCTAGTGGTGCTGGATGACTCCAAGAGAGTAGCCAAACGTAAGCTGATTGAAGAGAACCGTGAGAGACGGCGCAAAGAGGAAATGATGAAATCCCTTCAGCACCGGCCAGAACCAACAGCAGACGAATGGGAGTTGATCCGCATCGCTATGGATGCACACTGCAGTACCAACGCCCAAGGCAGCCATTGGAAACAGAAGCGGAAATTCCTGGTAAATTGTACTGGCAAATAGGGTGGACAGTTCTATTTGTCAGTATTGACACAATACATAATTTTACATACTTTTTATTCTTTATTTTGAATTACATGTAGTCCTCACTTAACAACAATTCATTTAGCAACTGAAGTTACAACGGCGCTGAAAAAAGTGAGTTATGACTGTCTCAGTGTCACTGTGGTCACATGATCACAATTAGTGCATTTACAACAGTTGCAGCATTCTACATTCACGTGCTTGCCATTTGCCTTCCCAGCCAACTTTGGACAGGTAAAGTCAGTGAGGAAGCCAGCAAGAGGTTGCAAGTTGTAGTCATGTCATGTCTCGCTGAACAGTTGCAGGTTATTCACTTAATGACCGCAACTGGGACTGCTGGAACTGACATCACTAAGCAGGGTGGTCAAATGATGGTTCACTTAACAACCACTTAACCACAGATTTTTCAGTCCCAATTAGGGCAATTAAGCAAGGACTAACTATAATATTTACTGTTTTGAAAGGTCCATATCTTTCTGTAGATCTCTTTACTCCAGGCTTTCTGCAAAATCTGGTAGATTAAAGGTAAATCAGGCAGAATAAGTTAATATATGCATACTATACTATGCTTCAAGTTTTGGTTACCTGAATATGCAGGTAGTCCTTGACCTATGACCGTAATGGAACTGGCCCATTAGGGTCACAGCTTGCAACAGCTGTTAAGTGAGATGAGCTTGCTTAACAACTCCCACCCCCTCGTCTTCCTGATGTGGTCATAAGATGAACGTGCAGGTTTTTAAGCAGAGCACATAGTAAATTTAGCATATTAAGTGGTTAAAGGGGGTCAACATTGGAGGGCAGAGGCAGAGAGTTTAGCTTTAGTGGGGGGGAGGGAGGTGAAAGATCAACAAGTCTGTCCCCACCAGCTTTTTTGTTTTCTTAATTGAAAAAATGTGGGTTTGTGGGGGGAGGGAGGGGGTTAAGTAAGGGAAAACTTGTGGGAAGCTAGTCCTGGAGCTGCTGCCTTTGCATGCAGGAGGTTCACTTCCCCAAAGCCTAGCAAGAGCTAGGAGAGGCCTGCAGTCTCTGTACTGCCAGCTGATTGGGGTAGAGGCCTGGCCTAGCCTAGCCCACAAGCCAGTTTCATTCTTTTGTAAAATACCACCAGTGGATGGATCACTTATCTACTTCCCTGGTGTTTCAAAGCATCATGGCTTCTCAGGGTCAAGTATCTAGGCTTGTTTGGAAGCCTCTTTGGTATTGGAATGCAGAGCTGGGCCTTAATCTAGCTGGACTCTTCCCCCACTGCTGGGCTATTTTTTCTTCCTTCATTTCAGTTTGTTTTACTTTCTGTTAGTAAGCCAGCTTCTCCTTTTTGTTCCTTTGCTGCTTGCCTGATTCCTTTTAGGACCCTGCTTCACCTGCCACTGTTTGAAACACATGCCTAAAACTTTGGGTTTGCTTGCTGCCCAACAAGGCAGGGTAGTGAGACCCAGAAAGGCATAGATAGGGGAGGGAGATGGGTGGGTGGGAGTTGCAGCCCCCCCCCTCATAAGGGTGGGCGGAATGCCAAGCACCCACATTTTGATAATGTGACTGCAGGGGGGCTGCAACAACCGTAACTTTGGGCATGAATTGTTAGTCCTTTCAGTGCTGTTGTAATTTCAGTTGCTGAACAAATGGTCATAAGTTGAGGACTACCTGTATACATGCCAAGTTGACACACTTCTCTATTTTGTGCTGCTGTTGGACTTAGTGATTCTCAACCTTGGCAACTTTAATATGTGTGGACTTCAACTCACAGAATGCTGGCTGGGGAATTCTGGAAGCTGAAGCCTACACATCTTAAAGTTGCCACGGCTGAGAAACACTGTGCTAAGCATAGCAGAGAATTGAGCATTGGTTGCTGAAGATTATATTGTTTCTGTGTTTTCTTCCTTAACCATTGGATAAAGAAGCAGTCCAAAATTAACACATGCATAGAGTTTGTGTTGTTAAAATTATACATATGGCTGAAGTGTATTCACATTCTGCTTAGCTAATTAAGATACTTGGAAAGTACACATTTTCAACTATTTGCTAGCTGTTCTGAAACTCTCTACTATGAATTAGGCCAGGGGTCTTCAAACTTGGCCCTTTTATGACTTGTGGATTTCAACTCCCAGAATTCCTCAGCCAGCGTGCCTGGCTGAGGAATTGTGGGAGTTGAAGTCCACAAGTTATAAAAAGGCCAAGTTTGAAGACCCCTGGTATAGGGTTTCCTGCCTGAGCAGGGGGTTGGACTAGATGACCTCCAAGGTCCCTTCCAACTTTATTATTATTATTATTATTATTATTATTATTATTATTATTATTATTATTATTATTATTATTATTATTATTATTATTATTATTATTTAATTTGAATAATTTGAATTTGACCGTAATTGCCAATAAATTTCAATTGGACTGGAAATAGAGTGTAATTTTTTAAATCTCTTTCATTCATACATAAACCATCTGGCCAATTTATAAGCTTATTTTATTTCAGTACAGGTGATAAAAACATTGCTCAGCCTTTGAAAAGAAAATAATATTTTATACATTTAACATTAGTTCCACTCTTTTAAAAATGTACAGATCTGTTCCCAGGCTACTAATGTGGGGAAATTGTAATCCATCTTGAATGTTAATAATTTATACAAAACTCAGAATCAGCATAAACTTAATGATAAATCCAAGAATTGAATCATTTTTAGTTAAGATTTCTCTTGCTGCCATAGTTTTAGCACAGTATTTCTCAACCTCAGCAACTTTAAGATGTGTGGACTTAACTCCCAGAATTCCCCAGCCAGCATGTCTACACATCTTAAAGTTGTTGAGGTTGGAAACACTGGTTTAGCAGATTCGAGGCTGCAGAGTTGCCTTTGAAGGGTTAATTTGCTTGAGCAAATGGACAGGGCTGTGACCTTTCAGCTCTGTTCAAGGACAAATGGAATAGAAATCCCTCAATGCAACCTCCTCTCTCCTCACCCATTTCTGAGCAGAGTAGGAATTGCTGGCTTTTGGCTCCCTCTGCTGGCTATAATCAGTTAATGTCAGGGCAAGGGTAGGACATGGAGATCACAGAAAGTGGAGGCTTGGGGCTAGGGAGAGAAAATAGGCCAGCAGACTGAGGGGATCATGGGTTAACATTGTTCTATCTGTTCCCCCAGCCTTCATAAAAGAAGGCATTACTGAACATAGGAAGTGAATGAAATTCAGTTCAAAAATGGACTAAAAAGCTGTTCAGTTCTGATCACAAAACTAAACAGGTCCTGCTCTCAATCTGTCTCCAAAGGAGCACACGGTCATGGGGTTGGTTGGTGCCATGAGAGCCCTCCCTTTGCCTTTGTCAAGTAATTTTAACAGGACTTAATTATTCTTGCCTCTTTAATTTTTTTTATGTTTTTAAAAAAATTAATTCTGAAATTTTAACTCTTAACATTTTAATTTTTATATACTGATTTATGTTTTGATGTTTTATTGCACACCACCCAGAGTCCCTCTTTGAGGGAGAGGGGTGGTTCAGAAATGTGAAATATAAATAAATATATAAGAAAGAAATTTAAACAAGTAGCCCTCAACTTATAACCATTTGTTTAGTGACTGAAGTTACAATGGCACTGAAAATGGTGACTTAACAACTGTGGCAAAAAAGGTCATAAAATGGGGGGGAAACTCACTTAACTGCCTTGCTTAGCAACTGAAATTTTGGACTCAATTGTGGTCATAAGTCAAGGATGATTTGTATTGACATTTGCACAATGTGGTAGCAGAGTAATATCTGTTAAAACTGGTCTTTTAAATTGCTAATAATGGTTTTAAAGATTTTTAAATAAAATATATTTAAATAATAAATATTATGTTTATTAAAATATTTTAATAAGGTGATATTATTTGATTCTAATTGTAGAAAGGCTATGAAATATAAAGAGATTGCCTTGTAAAGAAGTTGAGAGAAGGAAAAGATACTGACAGGGTCTAGGACAACTCGCCACCTCCAGCTTGCCAACCACTGCCTCGCCCTGGACGCCTTGCTGCAGGACAACTCAATGCGGGCAACTCACCATGGGACAACTCACTGAGGGAGAATGCTGGAGGCGAGGGGAACATCCTCCTCCTTCTCTGTAGCTCGGACTGAGGAAAAAAATCAGGGAGGACAAAGCAGGGAGGGGAAGAAGGACTCCCCCCACCACCAGAAAAAAGATCACTTGGGAGAGAGTCACACACTTTTCGGTGCACAGGAGTTTCTTCTACAGAGGTCAAGGGGTATTGGTGGGGGGGTAAGCCAGATGGAGGGAGGGAGGGAGGGAGGGAGAGAGTGGAGGTTACCCTTGCCTCTGGCATTCTCCCACAGTGAGTTGTCCCAAGGCAAGGGAGAGAGAGAGAGAGAGGAGGAGGTTCCCCTCGACTCCAGCATTCTCCCGTGGCATGTTGCCAGCGACGAGTTGTCCTGCAGCAAGCTGGCGGTGGCGACCCAGCGGAGGCAACCCAGCTGCGGCAATCCGGCTATGGCAAGTTGTCCCATTCTGCTGACAGATAAGAGTTATGTTTCCAATTTTAGGGTTGGATGATAAATTTCCTGTTGGGGTATCCTGAGTCAGTTCTCTGCAGTTTTTATTCTACTTCTTCCTCCCACTAATAGCCTGAAGATATTGGTCAGTCACCAATGGCCTCCATGCCTGATGGGGACAAAGTAGACTTGGAGGCATTCAGTGAGTTTACGAAGATCATCACCCCTGCCATCACCCGTGTGGTGGATTTTGCCAAAAAACTGCCCATGTTTTCAGAGGTAAGCAAAAGATGGTGAGCAGTGAAAAGATGGAGGAATTTGGTTATTTGGTTGTGAAGTTTTGAACTTCCAGAGAATTTCTCCTTTCATTCCTCTTTTCTCACTATTAGAACCATTTTGGCTCATTGTTAAGAAGACATAGGAATACAGTATACAGGTAGTCCTCAACTTAGTGACCATTTAAAGTTATGATGGACCCCAAAAGATACTTATGACCTGGTTCCGATGGCTGCCCTTCCCCCATGGTCACATGAACACATTTCAGGCGTTTGGCAACTCACTCGCATTTACAGCCATTTGCAGTGTCCTACTGTCATGTAACCAGGATTTACAATGTTTTTACAGAAAACCAGCATTTACTTCCTGTTTTCAGAAAAAATGCCCCATAGTGAACAATGGGTTTATTTAATGACCACCATGTTTGCTTAACAACTGCCACAAAAAACATTGTAAAATTTGGTCTGGTCACATAGTGACCCACTTTATGACTGTCACAACTTACAGCCATAACGGGCAGGCTCTATTATGGTTGTAAGTCAAGGACTACCTGTATGCTCACATCATCAGTATCTTCACATGTCATCTGTCATCAAATCCTGGTCCAAAGGATTTTGGTGTTGGTGGGCTTGTCCCATCAGCCCTACTATGGTCATATCCCTCTATTCAGCTCTTTACATACATAGGAGATGATAGGAAGTTATGAAGATAAGTTTCAATAGTTATCAGTTTGTCCTGTCTGCAGGAGTAAAGGGTGGACTAAACTGAAGGAAAAAGTTTTCATAAATATTTTTATCACAGTGTCAAAAGATGCCCCTCATTTTCCATGATCTTTCATGGAATAGATCATGGATTACCAAAAAAAGAATAGTTCTTGCTATTTAGTATGCATTGCCCCCACATGGACTTTGCTTAGTTTTGTTAAACTGAACTTTGTTGAGTTAATCGTAATTTTATTATTAGTTACAATCACCTTTATAGCCAGCCAAGGATGTTCTCCTGCTGTAGTAGATTTGCTTTCAGTGATAAAATAATGCGGCCAAGTTAACTGGGTGTATCACTATGTTGTCACTTTCAGTTTGTGATTCCTGCTTGACAGGAATCATTTTGTAAGGGAGAAATCCTGAACTAAAAGAAAAAAATTACATTGAAGCAGCAGGTTGTGCAAATAGGAACTCCAGGTAGGCATGTAAAATGTTGAAAGTAGAGAGGTATTTGAAGAAACAATTTTTTGGGGAGGGGGCCTAAGCTCTAAGTTGGTTCCCAAAGTGGATACATGATTATGATTGTGATAATGATGATTACAATTCCCCTTTACCATATATTCCAATATAATGGAATATCCCAGCAGTTTACAGCAAAAAACAATATATAAAATAGACAACACAAGTTAAATACCACCCATAGGCACCCAGTGACAGTGACAGTCATTACAACTGAAAGGCTTTCTGGAATGATATAATTTTTACCATTTCTAAATGCCATCAAGGGGGTGTTGGAGATAGACTATCAACCTGGGGTGGGGAGGAAGTAGGCTGTTCTAAAGCAATAGAGCTGCAGTGGAGAGGAGAGTCATTGCCTTCAGGCTCCTCCTAACCTTTATCCTAAAGGAGATGATCCTGAAGGTATCTGGAAGCCAAGCCATGAACAGCTTTATAGTTTAAAACCAGCACTTTGAATTGTACCTGGAAACTCACTGACAGCCAAAGCCATGCCACAAAATCACAGTTATAACCTATGCTTACCAGCCAAGTGGCCACAGCATTTTGCACGTATTCCAGTTTCTGAATAACCTTCAAAGGCAGCTTCAGGTCTGGTGTATAGGTAGTCCTCCACTAACTACAATAATTGACTCTGGAATTTCCATTGCTAAGCAATGCAGTTGTAAAGCATTATGTCAGGTGACTGCAATGCTTACGGCAGTGATGGCAACCCCCACTGCCATTGTTAACCTAATTCCACAGGTTTAGTTGAGGACCCAGCCCAATCCAAGCCATTCTCAGCCTGGGGCATGGTAAAATAACAGACTGCCTCCTCTGCAACTCCCCCCATCTGCCTATCACCCCTCTATCTCTGCCCTTTTTACTACCTGCCTACCCACTGCTGTCAGCTGCAACTGCTGTCCACCTCTGCCTGCCACTCTCGCACCAGCTACACCACATGCCACTATGTATCAGCCGGGACCTTCTTTCATGCCACCTTCTTTCATGTTGGTACAGCCAAAGCTTTTTTCCACCCTGCCTGTGGCCTCTGTTTGTACACCAACCAGGGCCTCCATTTGTGCCCTCCCTACAATTATTTTGTGAAAGAAGCCCAGGGTTTGAACAAAGGCCCTGGCTAGAAGGGTTATTGTTTTGCACCAGTGCAGCCAGGGCCTTCTTTAATGTGGCAGGCTTCTTTTGTAAAAGAAGGCCCTGGGTAGGGCATGAATGGAGGCCTTGGCTAGCATGCAAGTAGAGACCCTGGGTGGAGTGCAAGAGAAGTCCCAGCTGCACTGGTGTGAAATAAGGCGATGGGAAAGAAGGCCCTGGCCAGAACAATAGTGCTGCACAGTGTGACAGGTATGGCAGCAGGGAACAGGGAACAGGGCAAAGTGGTGGGTATGCAGGTGACCAAAAGTGGTAGTAAATGCGGGTGAGACCAAATTGGACCAAATTTTGTTCACATGACATGGGGGTGCTGAAATGGCCAGAACTTCGAGGACCAATCGAAAGTCCCTTTGTTCAGCATTGTCATAACTTTGAACAGTCGCTGAATGAATGTACATTAAACAAGGGCTACCTGTATTGCAGTAGTTTAGCTCAGAGGTGATAAGAGTGTGGGTTGTACAAGTGGAGAACATCAAGTAAGTTTACACTGAGTCCTTCCCTTAATTAATGAAAGTGGTGAGGCCTCATTCATCATACTCTCAAAGAGTAGTTTTGTTTTCCTCTTCTAACTCTATTTAATTTAGGAAAATGTGAATCTTTGAATGGATGGGTTTATACAACATGCTAAGACAAAGGCAGGATTCCCACAATATCCTGAACCACAAACTACCCAATTTTACCCTATTCTAATGTGCTGTGAAAACTCAGCTACTATATATTAATTTTAACAATGTAAAGTATCCTCTTTAATATTCCATATATGATGGTTTAGATTGGTGAATTATCAAAAACTACCTTGTTATGCCTGCAAAATGTTCCGGAAGGATAAATAAGCCAAAATTGGGAACCAGGGACAAATGCAGGAGACAAAGAACATATTATCAGAGACCACAAATTGCAGGAGAATTATGATGCAGTAACTTGTTGTTCATAGATGATCCGATAGCCATCCTATGAGCGTTTCTAACTAGCTGGGCCAGCAAATTTCAATTAGCTTCTTGATGAATAGAGCCATCTGCTAGAAGAGGAACATTTTCTGCAAATAAGTGATTTTCAAAACAAGCATACATTTCCCACCACAACTAACTTCTGACTCTTGATTTCCTACTACTTTTACATGGAGAATGTATGCTCTTTCTACTTCTGGGACCCACTCTTTATAGCATAGCCATTCAACATTTCTTTATATTAAGACCTTGTACTGCTTTTCTGCCCTGGGGAGCAAAAACGTCTTCATTCTCTGGGAGGTGGAATAAGATATTTTGCTTCAATGGGACTATCCTAGGCAGCACTCTTAGATAACCATGTATACCATAGCCAAAGTGATCATGCTTCTCTCTGCCTTTAGCTGCCTTGTGAGGACCAGATCATCCTTTTGAAGGGCTGCTGCATGGAGATTATGTCATTGCGGGCAGCTGTGCGTTATGATCCTGAAAGTGAAACCCTGACGCTCAGTGGTGAAATGGCGGTCAAAAGGGAGCAGCTGAAGAATGGTGGCTTGGGTGTGGTATCAGATGCCATCTTTGATCTGGGAAAATCCCTCTCTGCCTTCAGCCTGGATGACACTGAAGTGGCACTGCTCCAGGCTGTGCTACTCATGTCCTCAGGTATGAGTGGTGGGTTGATTATGCACTCAGTGTGCCCCTTATGCAGTTGGCATTATTCAAAAAGGGAGTCAGACCAAGGCTCCATATAGCTCAGTATTATCTGTATTGATCATCAATAGCTTTGTAAAACTTCAGATTAAAATTGTACTTTGGTAGAAGATAGAAACTGAACTTTTGACTGCTTGTGGGCTAGCACAGAGGTCCCCAACCTTTTGGGCACCAGGGGCCGGTTCCATGGAGAGAGATTTTTCCGTGGCCCAGAGGGTGTGTTGTTTTGTGTGTTGCCTGCATCTCATGGATGGGGCTTTGCTTGTTTGTGTGGCCCGGTTGCTGGCATGCCGCGGCCCGGTACTGGTCCACAGACCGGGGGTTGGGGACCCCTGGGCTAGCATCTTAGCTACAGCCCTTCCCTTAGATCAAGGATGGGCAACATGCAACTTCAGATTTGTCAAAATGCCAAAGTGAGGCCACGACCATCAGCAATTTTATATCTTTAGCTATTTTTTGTCACACTCTCCCAAATCACCAACTAGAGCATAACATGTGTCACATTTGTTAAATGCATGGGATACTATACATGGCTAGTAAATGGTTGGAGGGTTAAGTAAAAGGATATTAAATAGTAAAGAAGAGGATTGTTTTAATAGCTTCATCAGAGGGAAGTTCAGTCAGTCAGTTGAAGGATTAATTAAATTAGCTTTGCATGTGTTGAAAAATTGAATTCAAGTTGAATGTTGTAAAATGGACTACATTGTTAAGTTCAGGTGAGAAGGTTGCATTGAGAAACCTAAGAGAAGGAAGCTTTGTCAGTTTGATTTGAGGGACATTTTTGAAGATTGAATTGAGTGATTCAGAGTGAAAAGTCATTCTCAGTTATATTATGACTGTCAATGACTAATTCTATCAAATCCAGAGAGTAAAATAATCCCCAGAATTCATTCAGTCCTTACTGGAATTTGTGGATCAATCTGCAGCATTGCTATCATTTATTAAAGAACACCAACACTCCTGACTCTTTGAAGCTATGCAGGGCATTTATTTATTTAGTATATGGCAAAAATGTTAAAAAGCACATCACAATTACATCTCAATGAGCAAATATGAAACTATTCTATTTACAGATTCAGAGGTAAGCTATGTATATAGTCAATAAGTGAAGGAGTTGCATATAGAAAGTCTCTGGAGTTTCCCTGATATGCGCTCAGAGGGCACTGTTCGAAGCATCCCCATGGTCACACAATCAAGATTCAGGCACTTCACAAACCAGTGGGTGTTTACAATCATTGCAATGTCCTGCGGTCATGAGATCTCCATTTGCTTGCTTCCCATCTGGCTTTCAACAATGGAAAAACTGACAGTAAAATTGAATGTTGTGTGGTCATGCGATTTCTCACTATGACTGACTGCATTGCCTGTCCCAATAATGGTGATTAAGCAAGGACTACCTGTACTTTTTTCTGAAGATCATTAGAAGATAGCTGTAAGGCAGTGAGCAAGGGTTTGTGCTTTGTCCATATGGAGACAAAACTGAGCATACAGTTAATTCTAACCTGAGCAATGAGGGTTTAGGAGATTTAGTGAGTCAGAAAGGCAACCTGGGATTAGGGCAACTTAGTTGATTGCAGAGGGACAAATTTACAGATGCAGATTTAGCCTGCCTGATGTATATCCTCTTTTCCATTTACTTTGCAGACCGCAGTGGGCTAATTTGTGTTGACAAGATTGAAAAATGCCAAGAGACCTATCTGCTGGCATTTGAACACTACATCAATTATCGCAAACACAACATTCCCCACTTCTGGCCCAAGCTCCTCATGAAGGTGACTGACCTGCGCATGATTGGGGCTTGCCACGCCAGCCGCTTCCTGCACATGAAGGTGGAATGCCCTACAGAGCTCTTCCCCCCACTCTTCCTCGAGGTCTTTGAGGATCAGGAAGTTTAGGGTGTGGAGAGGAAGGGGGCAAACAGGGTGGCATGGGCAAATTGAGGACATGGGGCAATTTGGGGCTGGGGCGATGTCTGGACTTGGGTCACAAGGCCCTCACCTCATCACCTTGGACACAACAGATTTTCATTGTTTTAGGTTTTATTGTTTTCTTCTCATTTTTTTGTTTTGTTTTTCTAACACATCAGCATCAGTGAATCCCATGGATAGGAAAAACAAGGGCATCGTTGGTAGGGGTTGGGCCATGAAAAAATTGAAGCTTTACAAAATCTGGGTTATGAGGTAGATGTGTGCAGTAGCCAACACATTCTTTGTCTAGGCAGATTTTAAAAAAATAAGTGGACAGTACAATTCCCACCTACCCCCTTGTTATATCCTCTGTTGTCCAAATTTGTCTTTCCGGGGTGAAATGTCTATCTTAAAATTTAACACAAAAGAAAAGGAAAATAATCCACATGTTATTCTCTCCCCCCCCCCCAAAAGTGCTTTGCCTTTCTCCCTTCTTTAAACAGGTTTTCTGGCCCCCACAACACTGGAAACAATTGGCACCTCTTTCTTCTAGCTGTGATCAAACCTCTCGTTTAAACAGACTTGATAATATATATAAGTATAAATACATTCTGTACATACATACATTTTTATTTCTTTTGCACATAACAGCCCCAGGAAACGTCAGAGTGTGTTTGGTTGTTTTATTCTTGGTTTCGGTTTCTTTTAGAACTTTTAGCATTTAGTTATCCTCCCTGCGAGGCTAAAATTGAAAATGCACTTTTTGTGAAAGAAAGAAATGGAAATGAGAGAGGAAAAGAGAAATCCCATTAAATTATTGGGGGCAGGTTGGAGGAAGGAAGGTCACAGATGTTTTGACAAAAAATAATAAACACAAATTGAGGCTCAAGGTCCACATGTGAAGACAAATGCACTTTGAATGAGACAAAAATCCTTCCCCTCCGCCCCTCCAGTAGTGGAGAAACAGGTGATTGAATAAGAAATCTATTTTATATTGCTTTGAATCGCACTGCAGGTCTTGCCTCTTAAGAGGTGCCCACCTTGTATTCCAGTGTTGAGAGGTATATTCATCAGCTTTCCTCCTTACCCTGATGCCCTCTTCCCTCCCCAAAGCTTCAGCCAATCTACCTCCATGTTCAGCAAGGTGGGTGGATTTAACACATCCCCACCCACACCTGCTGCCCCCCCCAGCTGAAAGGCTGCATGCAATGTTCCCACTGGGCTTTTAAATGGTGCTTGCTATTTCTTTGCACACATGCCATGTGGTGGTACACTTCTTTCTTCACTAGTATTCTTGCTCTCCTGCTGGACCCTCCCTTCAATTCCCTACTCTCTGAGGAAGAAATGAGAAATTCTAATGCTTCGGTGCTCTAAGACAGGGGTGTCAAACTCGCAACGTCACGTGACATGTCGTGACATATCACGACTTTTTTTCCATTGCCGGCAATGGGGTGGGTGTGGTTTTGCCATGATGCATCTGGCCCGTGGGCCTGCAGTTTGACACCCCTGCTCTAAGAGAATCAAAGTTTGGCTCAGTTCTTTCTTGTTCTTTGGGGGAGGGGGGGAAATGGCACTCATCAGTACAGTAAACATGAAAACAATGATTCATGGGGACATGGCAACACCCTTTACAACCCAGAAATGTACCGGCTCTCTGTACTAAGAGGTTGTGGACTCTGCGTAATGACTTTTCTTCTACAGCATTCCATGTCCCCTGCACTTCTATATTGCTTTTGTAGTCCCAGTTGTGTTTGTGCACATGGGAAGAAAAGGCAAAGGTTTCTTTTATATGGAAGAGGCCTGTTACCGTAGAAAGGTTATCCTGGCCTGATTGAATCTAATTTTCCCTTTTGGAGGCATGCTAGATCAAGGAAATAATATTCTAATGCACTTCCTTGCACAGAAGGAGGATCATTCTGCCCAACTTGAACTGCCATGGGCAGAACAAAGTTCTAAGTCTCAGGCTGCATGAACTGTATGAGAGGTGATCCAGTTGGGAACTTGAAGGCAGGCTACCCACATTTGTAAAACTGAATTGGCCAAGCTGGCAAGAGAAAATCACCCCAAGTTTTCAAACTTGGGTCTTGTATCAATTTGATTTCTGAATTTTTTTATTTAGTGTTGTGCTTATGTGTTTGTAACTGGTTGTTGGAAAATAGAACCTCTGAAGTTCTGGAACATCATGTGGAGAAGGGGAATAGTAAGTGGTGATCGACCAGGCCTAGCAACCCCATTGCAATAGCCACCAGCCCTGCCTTTAACTCTGCTTTCCTGCCTCTTGGCTGACCCTTGGGAGGTGGAGCAGTTGGTACCTAGGGCCATATTTGGCATGGAACATCCAGTTATGAATCCCCACTCTAAAGATTTGCCTTTGGAGGAGGTATTTCTAAAGAAAAAAAACCAAAATAACAAACACCAGCTTCCCGCTTTCTTCTCGTCTGTTTCACCTTTAATGCAAGACAGACTGTGACCACCTTAATTCAAGTATTTTGGCACTTAACACTAATAGATCAGACTTCTTTCTTACCTCTTAAACTGCTTATTGTAACAAATCCATTTCTTGTCAACTTACTAGCCAGCTCTTTTTCTTTTTTTGCAACTGTAATGTAATGTTATTGGGAAGAGGGGTATATTTTACTCACTCCTCCTTCCCCTGTTCTTTCTCTCTGTCATATGCTTTCTGTTGAAAAAAACTCTTTACGCTTACCTCATTCAAGACGCTGTGGGAACTGTTACATGATGGGTTGGGTGCATGTTGGATGTACCATCTGGAAGGTTCAGAGGCCAGCACATGGAGAACACAGCTCCAATTTAAGCTATATATGTATGTATATTTTTTTTAATTAGAAAAATCTTTGTTTGGGTCTGTACACAAAAAAGAAAAAAAACACCACACAAACAAAATTGGGGTTGGAAAAAAATAATGTTTTTTTGTTTGATTTTTGTTTTTATCACCTTTAAATTACATGGGGTTAAATGTGGAACTGATTTCTGGGCTTGAATTGAAGGAGGTCTGGAGTACAAATGCCAGCAGTCACGCTGGATAATATTCAAGGCAATGCCTGTTCCTCTGTTCCATGCAGTCATCAAATGTGATGTTGAATAGAGAACTTAACAGTCTTGGTTTTTTTTAAAAGCAAGTTTCTAACTTGTATGGCTGTGAAGATAGGCTATAAAGCCTAATGAAATCTCAGAAAAAGAACTTAAGTGGGATTTCCAGTGGTGTGGAGTATACAACTCTAGTGCACAAACAGAATATATTATGCAAAATAAGTCCATATTTGCAGTTTTGCTTAATTATTCCATTTTTTCTTAGCACAGCATTCAGCTTTTCTTCATGTGGGAGTTAGAAGTTTGTGTTTAAAGTGTAGAGGATACACAGCCCCATTTGTATTCCACCAGCTATTTCCCGGAGGAATAAAACTGGGTCCATCAAAATAGTGTATCTTGCGAATATGCAAATGCAGAAGTTTTGCCTTGAAGATCTGAGTTAATCTTGGGTCTCTTTGAGAGAGAAAACTTTTTTGTCCAGCTCAGGCTGGTGAGCCTTGCCTGAACTATCTCCAAAGCCTATCCATGCAATAACAATTTTAAAAGCATCCAAAGATGAGGAATGTTATAGCCTGGTTGGCCAATTTCTAAGACTGGTGTTTTCTCGTACTTATGTTATAACATGCTATTTCCTACATACTTACATGCATGTTCACACAGCCTATTAGAGGCTTAGGTGCCTTCATACTTGGTCTAGCTTTTCCAAAAAATAAAAATGAAGTAGCCAGCTTACCCAGGCCTCCTTAACACTGCCCCTTCTTGCTACAACCCTCATTGTTCTGCCATTCTCTAATAATCACCAATCACTTTTAAAATCTGTTTCAGTCCCATGAAGCAGTCTTGCAAGTCTTTGGCAAACAGTTCCCTTCTTACATTAGTCTTCTCTGTGCAATAAAATTTCCATTTCTGTGTCTGTGAGAGACAGAGGTTAATGAAAATTAGGTTGAATTCCTATATAGGTTTTCAGAGAAGGAGTCCTTCTGAAATCAGTGAATTTTCTTCAGCGTGACCATGAAAATTCTTTTGCTAGGCCCTAATCCTATATCTTAAAGCTGTGAAGGAAAATACACTCTTTGGATCTGAATCAAAGACTCATTCTATGGACATACGTTGCTGCCTGAAATGATGAAAACCTTATTGAATGTATTTGGGTTACTATAAAAGGAAAAAGAAATGATATTGTCATAAGTGTATACTACAGACCACCCAACCAAACAAACAGATGAAATAGATGAATGTTTTGCTGATCAGTTAGCTAAGGTGTGCAGGATGCACAGTGCAATAGTAATGGGGAACTTTAACTACCCTGTCATCAACTGGGAGACAAAATGCACCTAGTGGGAGATCAAATGGATTCCTGACAAACCTAGCAGACAACTTTGTGTCCCAAAAATTAGAGGAGGGAACTAGAGGGTCAGCTATACTGGACTTAATTCTTACTAACGGAGATGAAATGAAGGGGTTGAAGTTGCTGGAACTTTGGGCGAGAGTGACCATGTCATATTGGAATTCAATATAATGCAGGCACAAGCAATAGAACAAAGTCAAACTAGTGTCTTACACTTTCAGAGAGCTGATTTCAAGAAACTTGGAGCTTGGGAAGGATTCCATGGATGGAAATTTTAAAGGGGAAAACAACTCAAGAAGCTTGGAAAACTCTGAAAAATGAGATTATAAAAGCCCTGTCTAGCACAAAACCACTGAAAAAGAAAAATAAGAGATCACAGAAGAAACCAGCATGGTTGCATAAAGAACTCTCTGATAAACTGAAAGACAAAAAGGACAAGTATAAAAAAATGGACACATAACTAAGGCAGAATACCAGCATATAACCTGACTCTGCAAAGATGAAGTCAAGAGAGCTAAGGCTCAGAATGAACTAAGACTTGCAACAAATGTCAAAAATAATAAAATTTCAACATGTAAAAAGAAAACAAGTCAAG